GGCTCCTTCAGTGGCTGTGGCCTTATGGGCGGGGCTATGTGCTGACCTGTCCCCACACTGGAGCCGGGACAGGGCCTTCAGCTCCGGTGCCCAGCAGGTCCCGGCCGGGGCTGCAGTGATCTGCTCCCGGGAAAGGCCTCCTCGCATGGTCTGTGCGGACGCCACTCCACCCCAACCTCTCCCAGCACCACTCTCCGGGGCAGAGCCAGGCTCACGCCGCTCCCCACGCGACAAACCTTGCTTTTCAAACTCCTCGAACAGCGCCAGGCTGGTGATGCTGGGCCCCGTGAAAACGATGTAGTTCTTGCCGGCCGCGTTGCGGCACAGGTTCCGGGCCACCGCGCCGTGCAGCTGCGGCTTGTTCTTCAGCGCATCCAGCCCGTCAGGGCCCGCGCCCTCCTTCAGGTGGACGTAGATCTGCCAGGAAACACGGGCCAGTGAGCCCACAGCGCGGCGGCCAGGCCCAGACTGGGCAGCGCGGCTTCTGTCCCTAATGACCTCATTTTAACCTAATTATCGCCTTTTAAAAAAATATTTTTATTGATTTCAGAGAGGAAGGGGGACGGAGAGAGAGATGCAAACATCAATGATGAGAGAGAATCGTGGATCGGCCTGCACACCCCACTCTGGGGATGGAGCCCACAACCTGGGCATGTGCCGTAACCTCCTGGTTCATAGGTCGGCGCTCAACCACTGAGCCACGTCGGCTGGGTGGGGCCTGAGTCTTGATCAGTTTAACCAGAGGGGCTGATTGGGTGGGAGGAACATGCTGGGGACAGTGCCGGCCACCCCAGTGCTCAGCGTGGAGGGCAGCACCCGGCCCCGGCCCCAGCGGGAACGTCTGCGTGACGCACAGCGAGAAGGCAGAGGGTTCATCGGTTACCACGTGAGCCGTGGCCCCCGCCTCTCCCTCGGCCCCTGGCCCCGCGCAGGGCTCACCTGGATGATGAAGCCGGTGGACGAGCACTGCCTGACCCACAGGCTGAACTTCCGCTTTTTCCTCTTGCGCAGCTCCCGCTCCGTGCACGTGGCGATGAACACGGGGTCCTCGTCAATCAGGGGTTCGTGTAGCACCTGCCGGAGAGGAAAAGCGAAGATGCTCACGGGCGGCAGCGCGGGCTCAGGGCCTCGTCAGGTCTGGGCTCAAGTCTCGATCTGCCCCTGACCAGCTGTGGGGCCGTGGCTAAGGCCCTCGACCTCTCTGGTCCCGGGACGCGTGTCTGTGGAAGGGGAACAGCAGGATCCGCACCGGTGTTCTGGGGGGACTAAGTGAGAAACAGGGTGCGGAGCTCACAGCACAGGCCCTGACACAGAGCAGGAATTTAGAAAATCGGCGGCAGGTCCCCAGTCCAGACCCTCCCTCGGTAGGGGGCTCTCCAGCCGGGGCCTGACCTCTCGCGGGGCGCGCCGGGTGGGGGCACCCACTTCTTTCCATGGGCGACCTTTCCACTCGCGGATGAGGGCTTCCGCTGCTCGGCTGTCCTTCCCCTCACTGGCTCAAAACTGACTTACATTGAACTTAAACCTTTTTTTTTTAATCCTCAACCGAGAATATTTTTCCATTGGTTTTTAGAGAGCATGGAAGAGAGAGGGAAGGACAGAGAGAAACATCGATGTGAGAGAGACACGTCGATTGGTTGCCTCCTGCACGAGCCCGGACCAGGACCCGGGTAAGTGGCTTTGACCAGAATCGAACCCGGGACCCTTCAGTCCGCAGGCTGATGCCCTATCCACTGAGCCACACCAGGTAGGGCTGAACTGAAACGTAAGGATCTGACCTCTGCCCTGGGGGAAACCAAGAAAAGCACACGATTCGTTTAGGCATCAGGACGGGTCTGGGCTGGCCTACGCCCGCTCTTTCCCGGCTCCTGAAGTGACCCAGTTCCCTTCTGACCCAGCCCCGGGCTCTCGCCCTCCCTCAAGGCGCCCAGTGCTTTCTGACATGGGGTCCCGAGGCGACTTTAAATATCATGTCACCTGTTTTAGCTGCTTGGTAACATGGTGGCAAGACATTTTCAGTGACAATAGAGTAAAAAGAAATGGAATTATAAAAACAGGCTCCGAGGGGTGGTCAAAGTTTTGCTTCTTTGAGTCAAAGCTTTTTTGGGGAGACTTTGGGGTAACCCTAGCACTCTGCCACCCTTCCCTCCTCAGTCCTGATTCAGGCTGAATTCTGAACTGTCTCACTGAAATGAAGTGTGGGAACTAACAGCATCCCAGGAACTCCACAAGATGCCCTGGATCAGGGGCCAGATTGCGTCTGGCCCCCTCCCTGCCTGTTATAAATAAAGTTTTATTGGAACCTGCCTCGCTCGCTCACTCACTCATGCATTGTTGATGGCGGCCTTCGGGCCACAATGGCAGAACTGATGCCTCTGGCCACAGACAGGGAGAGTGTACTGACCGAGCCCTGCTCTCTGTCGGTGCCTTTCAAGCATGAACGGACAAACTGGTCACAGTCGGGGGGGGGGGGGGGGGGGACTTGCTAACGTGCAGGTCTGATTCAGCAAGTTTGGGGCAGGGCCCGAGTTTTGCCTCCCCAACAGGCTCCGGGTGGAGTCAGGACGCACTGGGCCAAGGGCAGAGCGGAGAACACTCACCATACCCTCCCTCTCTCCTTAATGCTGCCTGGATGCCATTAAAAACCACAGGGCCTGTCGGTTCTGCGCCCTCGGCTTTTCTGTGGTTAGAGGCGGGGATAAGCCTGGCGAGCTGCCTGGAGGAGGTGCCTCCCACCTGCTTCCTGAACTTGCCAGCTCTGTGCAGCTCATCAAACATTCGAGCCCCATTTGGAACCATTCTAGCAAACTGTGAGTGCCTCGGAGGGGAATGGAGCAGAGGGGGGAGGGACGCCGCAGAGGGGGGAGGGACACACAGAGACCGCTTCTGCTGCCCTCTCCACTCCTCCTCCCAGAGCCAACGCCTCCATCCACCTGCATCACCGTGTCATCAGCACAAACCACACACCTCACCAGCGTGGAGGGGCCAGCGAGAACTTCTGTCCTCACCGTTTTTCCCTCTTTTCTGTCTGCATTAAAATGAATTCCACCCGGCCGGCCAGCGTGGCTCAGTGGTTGAGCGTCGACCTGTGAACCAGGAGGTCACGGTTGGGTTCCCGGTCGGGGCACTTGCCCAGGTTGTGGGCTCGATCCCCAGTGTGGGGCGTGCAGGAGGCAGCCGATCCATGGTTCTCTCTCATCATCGATGTTTCTCTCTCTCTCTCCCTCTCCCTTCCTCTCTGACATCAATAAAAACATATTTTTGAAAAATAAAAAAAAAGGAGAGGGAGGATGGGGAGAAAAGAGGAGGAAAAGTGCATCTCAGAGCAAAACCCCGAGTTCTGATCGTCTGTGGTCGGGAGCTGCTGATCTGCCTGTCCCCTGGGTCTTACGTGGATGACCTTGAAGTGACCTCAGAGTTGGGGCAGGAAGGGAGGAGGCCCCAGGTCAGCTCGGCCTCCAGCTTCCGCGGACCCCAGGGACGATTCCACAAACAGCTGCTGAATGGTGGGGGCCCGCCTTTCCCGGCCCAGGCCGAGGGCCGGCTGGGCCCACCTCACCTGGGTCTGGGAGGGCCTGAAGGCCGCGTCAAAGCTGCTCTGCAGGGCGTCGAGGAAGGGCTGGACCTTGTAGAGGCCGTGCGCCGCCTGGCTGGAGCGGAAGGCCACCACGTGGAAGTACTTGAGGATCTTCTCGAAGCGGGCCTGGCTCATGACGCCCGCCAGGCCCCGGTTGCTATAGAAACCGCCGCTCCAGATGCTGAGGACCGACTCGCAGTGGGAGATGCTGGTGGAGACCATGTAGCCCAGGAAGGCCTTCATCTCGGCCAGCGTCACGTCCGCCCAGGTGCCGTCGCTGCCGAAGCGCTCCTGGAACTTTCTGGCGTACAGGTTCGTCTGCACCACCATGTTCTTGAGCATGTTGTCGGGGACGAAGAGCTGGAAGAAGTCCATGGCGCTGGCGCTGGGGGGCATCTTCTGGGTGGGACCTAAAACAGGCAGGCCAGGCACTTACTGCCACAGCCGGCACGCCCCGGCCGGGATGGGGCGCACTCCCATCGCTGCCCCTCTGCCCACGGGCCACCCTTTGCGACACCCTTCGTGGGAACCGGGGCTCACGTACCAGGCCCCCACCCCCCAGTCAGTCCCCTGTGACTCACACATCACCAGGGGCCCCTCTTCACTCTGCACAACCCTTCTTACAAATCTGGCAATTTCAGAAACACGGATCCAGAGAGTAAGGGAGCCCGGTCAGCGTGGCTCAGGGGTTGAGTGTCGACCTATGAACCAGGAGGTCGAGGTTCAATTCCTGGTCAGGGCACATGCCTGGGCTGTGGGCTCCATCCCTGTTGTGGGGTGTCCAGGAGGCAACCGATCCATGATTCTTTCTCATCATTGATGTTTCTACATCTCTCCCTCTCCCTTCCTCTCTGAAATCAATAAAAATATATTTTAAAAACAAAGAGTGAGGGACAGTGAGGGGTGGGGGGAGGGGCAGGGCCTAAGGAATTCTCATCACAGGAGCCTGGCCAGGGCCCTGGTGTTTGCTTTCCTGTAAGTCCAGGTTCCTCTGTAAATGAGAAGGCTTTTGCCACGTGGGGCCTGGGAAATTCCGTCCACATGAGAAAGCAATTTTTACAAGGTATTCTGTACATGGTAACTGAATTTATCAGCAAAGAAGGCTCGAAGGGTAATTATCGTTTAGATAACCTCATCAATGCAATAAAAGCCTCACAACAGCTCGGCCGGTGTGGCTCAGCGGTTGAGCATTGACCCAGGAACTAAGAGGTCACCGGTTCACCCAGTCAGGGCACATGCCCGGGTTGCTGGTTCAATCCCCAGTGCCGGGCATGCAGGAGGCTGTCTTGACGCCATTGTATGCTCTTGCTTCCTTTGTCAACTATTAATTGAGCGTAATGGCTTGGGTCGATTTCTGGGGTCTCTGTTCTGTTCCACTGATCTATATGCCTATTCTCGTGCCAGTACCAGGCTGTCTTGAGTACAGTGGCTTTGTAGCGTTCCTTGAGATGTGGTATTGTGATTCCTCCAACTTTGTTCTTTCTTAGATTGCTGCAGCTATTCAGGGTCTTTTTTTGGTTCCACATAAGTTTTTGGAGTATTTGTTCTAGAATCGTGAAATATGCTGTTGGTATTTTAATAGGGATTGCACTGAATCTGTAGATTGCCTTGAGTAGTATGGACATTTTCATGCTGTTGATTCTACCAATCCATGAACATGGTATGTTTTTCCACTTGTTTATATCTCCTTCTATCTCTTTTTCCAAGGTCCTATAGTTTTCTGAGTACAGGTCTTTTGCCTCCTTAGTTAACTTTATTCCTAAGTATCTTAATTTTTTTGTTGCAGTGGTAAATGGGTTTTAGTTTCTCTTTTTCAGAGTTCATTACTGGTGTACAAAAAAGCCATCGATTTTGGGTATTGATTTTGTATCCTACTACATTTCCAAATTCATTTATTAAATCTAGTCGTTTTTGGTGGTCTTTAGAGGTTATCTATGTACAATATCAAATCATCAGTGAATAATGAGAGTTATTCCTTCCCAATATGGATGCCTTTTATTTCTTCTTGTCTGATTGCTGTGGCTAGGACTTCCAGTGCTATCCTATATAATAAAAGCCTAATATGCAAATCGACCAAACAGCAGAACAACCAGTCGCTATGACGGGCACTGACCACCAGGGGGCAGATGCTCAATGCAGAAGTTGCCCCCTCGTGGTCAGTGCACTCTCTCAGAGGGTGGGTCCACAGCAGCTCAGCGGCACTCCCACAGTAGACAGATCCCCACAGGCCATGCCCCCCACCAGTGCACGAATCCCATGCACCAGGCCTCTAGTGTTGAATAAGAGTGGTGAAAGCAGACATTCCTGTCTTGTTCCTGTTCTTATGGCAAATGGTTTTAGTTTTTGCCCACTGAGTATGATGTTTGCTGTAGATTTGTCATATATGGCCTTTATCATGTTGAGATATACTCCCTCTATTCCCACTTTGCTGAGAGTTATCAAAAATGGGTGTTGGATTTTGTCGAATGCTTTTTCTGTCTATTGATACAATCGTGATTTTTATCTTTCAATCTGTTTATATCATGTATCACGTTTATTGAGTTGTGAATATTGTACTAGCCTTGCATCCCTGGAACAAATGCCACTTGGTCACAATGTATGATTTTTTTAATGTATCGCTGGATCCAATTTGCTGATATTTTGTTGAGGATTTTAGCATCTATGTTCATCAGGGATCCTGGCCTGTAATTCTCTTCTCTGTAGTGTCTCTATATGGTTTGGGATTAGGGTGATGCTGGCCTTAAAGGAAGAGCTGGGAAGTGTTCCTTCCTCTTGGATGTTCTGGAATAGTCTGAGGAGGAGAAGTGCTAGTTCCTCTTTGAATGTTTGGGAAAGCTCCCGTGAAGCTGTCAGGACCGGGCTTTTGTTTGCTGGGAGCTTTTTGATGAGGGTCTTCTCACCCTCCTTTAAGGGAAAGGGCCACTTTCCTGCAATACAGAGTGAGTTGGCGACCGTCTAGTCGTCTAGTCGAGAGAAGAGATTGCCCAAGGCTGCAAGCCGTCCTGTCTTCTTTGGGACTCTCCCCGCTCCCACCCGACCTAAGCATCTAAGAAGGAAGAGCAGACGAGCCCAGACACCCAAACTCAGGAGGCGAGAGCAGCCCAGGCCTCAGGGGATGAATTTTTCATGAGACTGAAAAAAATAAAAGAATCCCATAAATGCTCATGTGGGAATCAAATACTTCTGTGCTGTCCCGGGTTATAAATATCCCTCTTGAAACCAGGCTATTGTTTGTCAGGACTCGGGGAAGGAAAGCAGCCCTGAGCAGATGCTGCTAACATGCAAGGAAGAGCCCAACTGGGGGCGAGGGCACTAATGAGGGGGGAGCTAAATGTCAAAGATGGGGGACCCTCCCCACTTCTGATTGGCTGGGAGTCGGCCCCAAACCCAGGAAGCAGGTTGGCAGCTTAAAACTACCACCCTGGATGCCTCAGACGCACCAGGAAAAGAACCCTCCAGACCCTTCCATGCAAGAAAGGAGGCTGCTGGGCCACACTGGGAGCTCGCCCTTCTGTCTGTCTGTCTGTCTCTCTCTCTATTTTAAAAGATGGAAGCAGCTCACGATGAAACAGCAGAATATCCAGGAGGACGTGGGCAGACAGCTCCTCTCTTCCCTCCCCCAGGCACTGACACGACTGCATGAGATTTAAACAACCCTCCCCCAGCTCGTGGGTGAGCTGCTGGTTCTGGCACCACCAGCCTGGCCGCTCAGGAGCTGCGTGACCTGGAGCCAGGGGCTTCCTCCAGGGGCCCCGGGCCTCCTGCTCTCGGGGCTGCTGTGACGATCATGTGTGAGTCAGGGCCCATTGGGCGGCAACCAGGAACCGTAGGTTTTCCGACTGTGGTGGCTGCTACCATCACCCTCATTCCCGTCCCGCAGCCTCTTCGTGGGACACGGAATCCACACAGCAGAGCGTGGACAGGCGCCACGGATGCCACGCGGGGTGCGCAGATTCCTCCCTCCTTCCTCTGTGGGCACAGGGCCCAGGGGCACTCTGAGAGGCTCAGGGTCCCATCCGCACCCTCCCCGGAGGAGAGGACTGCCCCCTGCCTCCCTCCAAGCCTGGAGCTCAAGGCCACTCCAGGAGGCTCAGGCTCTGAGGCCCAGGATGAGCACAGAAAAGGCAACGAGCACCCGACCTGCAGCCCCGCTCAGGCTAACGAGGCAGTTGCCTAGCGTGTCTAAGCTCAGTCCCTCTCCACCCCTCCCTGGGAGATGGCACTGTTGTCCCCATGAAAGAAACAGAAGCCAGGGACTAAGTGACCGGCCCACGTGGCTGGATCTGAACCCCAGAAGCCTGGCACCCACACCTCAGTTCTCAATTACCGCCCGTCACACTGGATGGTAATTTCCGGTTCATCGGCTGCGCGGGCTGGGCCGCACCGGGCCCGGACGCAGGGCAGGCTACACATATGGATGCTGCAGCCCCAGGGCCCAGCTAGTGCCACTCTAGGAGCATCCATCCTGAGCGGACAGGCGGCCAGCATCCGCTACCTCTTGTCAATGAAACCACACGGCCCTCCCTGTAATCTCGAGGGAAGACAGCCCGATGGGACCGTGGAGGAGACACGCGGTACTGCCGTGCCAGTCTCCTTCACTTAATCACAGGCAGACACGAACGCACTGCCAGTTCCGAATTCAGATGCCAAATCCGGGGATCATTAGTGCCCATTTTACAGATGAGGAGACTGAGGGGAAGAGGCAGCGAGGCCTAAAGCACAAGTCCAACAGCCCTGAGGTCCTCGCTCTGCCCTTTCCAGCTGTGCGGCCTTGGACGCGCGGCTTCTCGCCTCAGTTTGGGTTTCTTCACGTGTAAGAGGAGGATAATGAACCCTCCCCCCCCCACCCCCCCACCGCCCAGACTCGGGAAGCGGGGCCGAGCGCGCAGATGGCAGTTTGCTGGCAGGGTGCCCAGCACATGGTGGGCGTGCGGCAGACGGAAGGCACCAGGAGGAGGGCTTGGACTTGGCCCAAGGACCCAGCTCTGCAGGCCAGAGGCAGGATCTGAACCCGGGTCCGCCTCTCCCAGGGTCCCTGCACACCCTGACCAAGTTCCCCAAACAGTCATCACTCAGAAGCTCTCTCACCCGCCCCCCCTCCCCATCTGGGAAACATGCAGCCACCAACTACCAAGGTCTAAGCAGCAGAACCAGCAGAGTCCCTCCTCCTTCGGTGTCCTGTTTCCATGAACATGACATTCAGGAACGCCCCCAAACGGAATCTAAATGGTTGACATACAGGGTCCAGTACTTCTCCAACTGCCATTTCCACTTCCTACCCTTTTCCCAAAAAGCTTTACCAGCCCGGCCGGCGGGGATGGGTGGTTGAGTGTCAACCTAGGAACCAGGAGGTCACGGTTCGATTCCCGGTCAGGGCACAGGCCCGGGTTGTGGGCTTGATCCCCAGTGTGGGGTGTGCAGGAGGCAGCCGATCCATGATTCCCTCTCATCATTGATGTTTCTCTCTCCCTTCCTCTCTGACATCAATAACAATATACATATTTTTTAAATGACCGAGATGCTCTATCACTTGGACACCCCTGGGCCAAAGGTGGCCTCGGCTCCCTCAACCTGCAGAGCCCCAAACCCCACCCTGAGCTCCCCCGTCCCTCTGACCGCGTCGTGCAGAGTCCAGCGTGCAGTCTCTCTCGATGAAGCTAAAGAACCCAAGTTCCTTTGACCAAGGTGTGTCCCTGGCTGTCTTTCTGGTGCTTCGACAAGGGCAAGGGCAGACCAAGTCCAGGGCAGGGGGTCTGAGTGGGGAAAGGGTCTGAGAGTCACCAG